ACAGCAGACCCTATCTTAGTTTCTTTCCCGATTGGTAAACATAAGAAATGTTTCCAGGCCGGGCTTAGTGGCTCACTCCTATAATTCCAGCACTTTGGGAGGCCAAAGTGGGTGGATCACTTGAGGTCAAGAGTTCGAGACCAGCCTGGCCAAGATGGCAAAATCCCATGTCTACTAAAAATACACACACACACACACACACACAAAAAAAAAAGCCTGACAGTAAAGCAGACTCCTGTAATCCCAGTTACTCAGAAGCCTGAGGCACGAGAATTGCTTGAACTTGGGAGACAGAGGTTGCAGTGAGCCAAGATCGTGCCACTGCACTCCAGCCTGGGCAACAAAGCAAGACTCTGCCTCAAAAAGAAATGTCTCCATATACTTTTACACTAAAACCTCAATTTGTCATAGTTTTGAAAATAGAGTATTGTATACTTGATTGAATTTTTTTTCCTGAGAACTAGAATACCATTTTTACTGTAACCCTCAATGTGAGAAAACTTTACAATTTCCTGCAACTTTTCCTGCCTCTGTATAAGTTATACCTGCCATCATTTAGTCTTTTATATGGGAAAGGCCACTGCTACCAGACTGCATCCAGTTCATCACAGCTCATTGTGCAGCCCTGTTGAAGTTTAGACTAAGGCTTTATACCTTATGTTTTATATCTTTTACTTGAAAAATAAATTTACACCAAATTTTAACTTGTTTTCTTATGATTTCACGTTGTAGAAGGTGATTAGTAGTTACATTTTTTATAATCGTTTGTTATTTAAAAACATTGTAAAAAGAAAACATCAATTATCAAGATTTCCTTTAATTGGCCTTAAAGGGCTAAAATCTAAAATTATTGTTACTCTTGGGTAAATTCATGAAAAGATAAATTCTTTTTACACAAGAATTTAATTATCTTGACTGGTATCAAATACCAATTGCATCAAACATCAATGATTCCATTAATTTTTTTAAGTTGTTTTTACTTTAAGTAGATAATATTCAGTGAATTTGAGTAATATGATTAACGAAGGGACCAACAAAGGTAATTGTCAATCTTACAGATATAAACTTTTACCTAGAATATCTCAATATTAGTAGAACATCTAGGAATAGTTGGTCAACATTTTAAAATCTCCTCTCCTTGCTGGTGAGCAGTAATATTCTTTTTTTTTTTTTTTTTTTTTTTGAGACAGTTTCACTCTTGTTACCCAGGCTGGAGTGCAATGGCAAGATGTTGGCTCACCGCAACCTCCACCTCCTGGGTTCAGGCAATTCTCCTGCCTCAGCCCCCTGAGTAGCTGGGATTACAGACATGTGCCACCATGCCCAGCTGATTTTTTGTATTTTTAGTAGAGACGGGGTTTCATCATGTTGACCAGGATGGTCTCGATCTCTTGACCTTGTGATCCACCCGCCTCGGCCTCCCAAAGTGCTGGGATTACAGGCGTGAGCCACCGTGCCCAGCCCGAGAAGTAATATTCTTAAAGTTAGAAACCATACAATTAAATTCCAGTTTACCTGATACAGGTTTGCTTGTCATGTCCTATCGATATGTCATGTTATTGTGATTGGTTTTATTTTATAAAAAAAAAAACTAATCGTAGCACAGCCAGGTGATCTACGTGAACATCAACAGTGATAAGTTACGTTGACAGCATGCACCCTGGATACATGATGAGAGTGGCACTTTACCTATATGGACTTCCTCCCCAACACTCCTAAACCCAGTCTAATCATGAGAAAAACAGACAAATCTCAATATAGGAAGGAACATTTGACAAAATACCTGGTGAGTACTCTTCAAAACTGCCAAGGTCATCAAAAACAAGAAAAGGCTGAGGAACCGTCAGAGCCTGGAGAAGCCTATGGAGAAGATGCGGCACCCTGGGTGCCTGACACAAAAAAGGACCTCAGGTACAAACTAAGGAAATCTGATAAAGTATGGACTGTAGTTAATAAAATATCAATATTGGTTCGTTAATTGTGAAAAGTGTGCCTTAGTAATTAGTTATCATTAGGTGTTACTAATAAGAGAAATTGGGTGAGGGAGTGTGTGGGAACCTTCTGTACAAATTTTGCAGAGTTTCTATAAAACTATTGTAAAATAACAAGATTATTTAAAATTGTATTTATAATGTTATATTTAAAAATTTTTACTATATACACATAATTTTACATAAATGCATTGGAAGTATAATAAAGGAGAAGCAGAGGATTAAAGGGGTGGTTCAGCGGTTTTTTCTGTTTTTGTTATTTCTCCTGAGTTTTCTCTCTGCTCTTTTACTTCTGTTACTCCCCTCTGAGTCGTGGTAGAGCCCAATATGTGTAGCACTTTTCTTCTTGGATTACTTTCCATCAATTATTGAGGCAATTATTGTGTTTTTTGGGTTTTTTGAGACAGGGTCTCTCTCTGTCACACAGGCTGGAGTGCAGCGGCACAGTCATGGCCCACTGCTGCCTTGACCTCCCGGGTTCAAGCAACCCTCTTACCTACGCCTCCTGAATAGCTGAAACCACAGGCTAATTTTTAAATGTTTTATAGAGACAGGGTCTCACAATGGTGCCCAAGATGGTCTTGAATTCCTGGGCTCAAGCAGTCTGCCCCTTGGCTTCCCAAAGTGTTGGGATTAGAGGTGTGAGCCACTGTGCCTGGCTAATTATTATATTCAACATAAATCTCATGTGAGTGTGTAGTGCTCAGCAGGGCCTTTGTTTGGCATTTCCTCTTCCTGAGGTAACCTGAGGTAACAGAAACATTGCTAACCTTCTGCTTCTGGCAGGAGCTAACATTTTTTTATGACCCTTCTCACCACATTTGGCGAGTTTAGGGATGCACATCTGACCCAAGCCAGACCAATCTGAGTTTGCAAGATTTTCAAGCTGGAACTGAAAGTTTCTAAGATTCAAAGTTTCAGAGCTGCTGTTTGCCAAGTTTAATTAAGTGAGATATTCTAGTAACCTTCCAATAAGTAATCTGTTTAAAAAGGGATGGGAGATTGAATTCACTGATAGCTCTAAGAACACTGTGGATTATGAGAAGTCCAAAACTCCACTTAAAATGTTAATTTTTGTACCTGCTTTTTACCTTCTGCTAAGTTGGAATTGAAGGGGCAGAATAGTTCCATGAAAACCGGTTCAGACTTTATCCCTCCAATTCACAATGCTACTTTCATGCCTGATCTTAGAAAATGTTTAAGTGCCCGGTTTTGGTATTATGTAGTAAAAACAGAAATTTAAAAATCTTAGCTTTGCATAGCCTCTATCCCCAAGAGAGCTCTTACATATTCATTCCTCCAAAACAAAACACAAATTTTCTCATAGGTGCTACTGGAGAAACAGTAGCACAAATAATCCCTACGGAGAACCTGCCATGTGCCAAGTCCTTTGGCACGGCTTTACATTCATGATCTCATGTAATTGGTTATTGCAACCACTTGTGCAAGGCCAGACTGGCTTCCAGGCTGTCAAGAAGAATGTGAGACTCTGCTCCAGTTTGATTTTTCTTCAGTAAAAGCAACAAACACTGGAAAGATAGTAAAGAGAGAATAATACATAGGTGGTTTCGCCCTCCCCTCAGAGGTGTCTCCAGCTCACCTTGCCTCAAAATTGGGGCTTTTAGAAGCCCAGGGAGAACGATATGCCCAGTAGAGCAGAGGAACACAGAGCATGGGCCCGCTGCCCTCAGTGCTCACAGCCACGGCAGCATTACCAAACAACTTACATCATCGTGAGAGGCAGTGGCTGTGCTGCTGAGGAGGGCCAGCTTCACTATGCCTTTACATCCCTGCTTTGTCTGCACTATGGGGCCCTGGGCCGTTCCACCTGGGCCCACTGAGGGGCTTTCATGTGGACAGGCACAGCCATGGCCCACACAACACCAACGAAGGTGGATATTAGCTTTATTTTCCAGATAAGAAAACTAAAGTTTAGGAGACTAAATGAATGTCCCCAAGTCCTCCATTTGGCAAGTTGATTTGCTAGTCAACTCAGAGCTAATTTCAGTCTAAGTCTGAAGCTAAAACTTTTAATCACTAGCTCCTTTAGGGGTATACAACTGCTTCCTTGGGGACGCCGGAACAGTAGTCCACACAGAGGATAGCACTTGGAAACAAATGCATTTATATTTTGCTTAGGTCACATGAGTGGAATTACATAGATGATGACAGCAGTAGTCTTAATGTGCAGGTCAGTGGCATGAATTAAAATAACCCATTGCATTAATCAGCAAATAATTCAATATCCTCTCCTAGTCAAGCAGAGTTCAGATACAAAGTATAAGACATCAGCCCTGCCCTTGAAGAGCTTGCGGTGTAATTGAGGAGATAATAATTACACTGGCAGATAATATTTTCTGAGTGCTTCCTCTGTGCTAGCTGGTTGGCCTCAAATCCCTTACATGTCCCAGCTCAAGGAAGACCAGCACTGAAAGACATGGGCAGTTGAATGCTGAATGGCCAGACACAGACAAAAAGCACTTTCAATGACAGGTTAACATACCAGTTAGCATCTGCTAAGATAAGGATTGTTTAAGGGCCTGTGGCAGTAATATTTCAGGCACTCCTCCTGAAATGCAGTGTCCTAACTAGCAGTTGAAATAAAAGAAGGCATAATATGGTCATTGAGAACCAGTAGAATGAAACTAGCCCTGTGGACAGCTTCATGGCCCCTAGTTTAGAATCTCTCCATCATTTCCTGGCTTCATAAACCATTTGTTAGGTAAGAAGTTCAAGGACTGAAATATTCAGAGGAAAAACAACATAATCCATGGTTCATATGTGTTCTACTTGTGGCAAGCATTACTAGTTACCTACCCAGTATCCACTCTCCTTTTTTACCATCAGGGCCCTGATTTGTTTATCAGAAATATGCCCAGAGTCCAGCAGGGTGGCATACACCTATAGTCCCACCTACTCTGGAGGCTGAGGCAAGAGGATTGCTTAAGCCCAGGAGTTCAAGGACAGCCTGGGAAACATAATGAGACCACATCTCTTAAAAAAAAATCTTTTTATTTTTTTTTTAAAAGAAGTAGTATGCTGGGATTAAAACAAACAAACAAACAAACAAAAAACCCTCCTTTGCAATGAGGCATGCCAATGCAATGCAACTCTTGCCAATTACGTATACACAGAAGTCCCTGGGTGGAGCTTCTGGAAAACTCAACGTAGCTGATGTTCCTTCTTGCCTGTTGCCTTTTCCTCCTTCTGTATCTGAAATGTAGGCATGCCACTGGAGGTGGAGCAGTTTTGCAACTAGGAAAATGCATTTGAAAATGAAACTACCTGGAAAGGAAGGCTTAGCTGGAAGATGAAAGATGACTGAGTCCATGGTAGAATCCCTTAGCTGCTCACCATACCATCCCAGGACAGTTTACCTCTAGCTTCCGGATACGTGAGAAAAGTAAAGCCTTTTTTGGTTAAGTACTCTAAATCTGATGATCTTTATGTTCCTGACATACTTGATGAAATTAGAAATATAAGTACTTGTTAACAATAAATTAAGTTTCTTAAATAAGGCCTTCTGGAAAAAAAAAAAAGAAAAAAACATGATTGAACTGTCTGGTTTCCCAGGGGAACAAACACCACAGCTGCAGGAATTTAAATATTATGATGTTGAGTTACATTGTTTTATTCAGAGATGGCCATAATCAAAGCATTGGTTTGAGGTCTTAGTTGAACTTTATATATAATTATACAAAAATCAGTAGATGAATTGCTATTGCTTATCTTTGGGGTGCATTTTTATATTAGTCTGTTCTCATTCAGCGAATACAGACATACCTGAGACTGGGTAATTTACAAAGGAAAACGGTTTAATGCACTCACTGTTCCGCTTGGCTGGGGAGGCCTCACAATCATGGTGGAAGGCAAGTGAGGAGCAAAGTCACATCTTACATGGTGACAGGCAAAAAAAGCATGTGCAGGGAAACTCCCCTTTATAAAACCATCAGATTTCATGAGACTTATTCATCATGATGAGAACAGCACAGGAAAAGCCTGCCCCCATGATTTAATTACCTCACACATGGTCCTTCCTATGATATGTGGGGATTATTACAATTCAAGGTGAGATTTGGGTGGGGACACAGCCAAATCATATCGTTGCACTTTTGACCACTCCCAAATCTCATGTCCTCACATTTCAAAACCAATCATGCCTTCCCAACAATCCCCCAAAATCTTAACTCATTTCAGCGTTAACTCAAAAGTCCATAGTCGAAAGTCTTATCTGAGACAAGGGAAGTCCCTTCTGCATATGAGCCTGTAAAATAAAAAGCAAGTTAGTTACTTCCTAGATACAACAGGGGTACAGACATTGGGTAAATACACCTGATCCAAATGGGAGAAGTTGCCAAAATGAAGGAGCTACAGGCCTCATGCAAGTCTAAAATCCAAAGAGCCAGCAATTAAATCTTAAATCTTCAAAATAATCTCCCTTGACTCTACATCTCACATCCAGGTCACACTGATGCAAGAGATGGGCTCCACCCATGTGGCTTTGCAGGGTATAGCCCGTGCCCTGGCTGCTTTTGTGTGCTGGCATTGAGTGTCTGTGGCTTTTCCAGGTGCAAGGTGCAAGCTGTTGGTGGATCTGCCATTCTGTGGTCTGGAGGATGGTGGCCCTCTTAAAGCTCCACTAGGCAGTACACCAGTGGGGACTCTGTGTGGGGGCTCCAACCCCACATTTCTCTTCTGCACTGCCCTAGCAGAGATTCTGTATGAGGGCTCTGCCCCTGCAGCATACTTCTGCCTGGACATCCAGTTGTTTCCATAAATCCTCCAAAATCTAGGTGGAGGGTCCCAAACTTCTATTCTTGACTTCTGTGCACCCACAGGCTCAATACCACATGGTAGTTGCCAAGGCTTGGGGCTTCCACAGCTGAAGCCACAGCCCAAGCTATATGTTGGCCCCTTTCAGCCCCAGCTGGAGCAGCTGATATGCAGGACACAGCAGGGGGCTGCACACAGCAAGGGGGCCTTGGGCTTGGCCCAGGGAACCATTTTTCCCCCTAGGCCTCCAGGCCTGTGATGGGAGGAGCTGCCAATGAAGGTATCTGATATGCCCTGGAGATATTTTTTCCCATTGTCTTGGTGATTAACATTCAGCTCCTTGTTCATTATGCAAATTTCTGCAGCTGGCTTAAATTTCTCCCCAGAAACTGGGTTTTTCTTCTCTATTGCGTTGTTAGGCTGCACATTTGCCAAACTTTTATGCTATGCTTCCTCTTGAATGCTTTGCCACTTAGAAATTTCTTCCCCCAGATACCCTAAATCATCCTTCTTGAATTCAAAGTCCTACAGATCTCTAGACAGAAAATGCCACCATTCACTTTGCATAGCAATAGTGACCTTTACTCCAGCTCTGAACAAGTTCCTCATCTCCATCTGAGATGAGCAGCATTTGGTCAAAGCCATTCAACAAGTATCTAGGAAGTTCCAAACTTTCCCACACTTTTCTGTCTTCTTCTGTACAGTCTTCCAAACTGTTCCAACCTCTGTTACCTAGTTCCAAAGTTGCTTCCACATTTTTGGGTATCTTTACAGCAGCACCCCACTACCTGGTACCAATTTACTGTGTTAGTCCATTCTCATCCTGCTAATAAAGACATACCTGAGACTGTAATTTATAAAGGAAAGAGGTTTAATGGACTCACAGTTTGACATGGCTGGGGAGCCCTCACAATCATGGTGGAAGGCAAGTGAGGAGCAAAGTCACATCTTACATGGTGGCAGGCAAGAAAGAGTGTATGCAGAAGAACTCCCCTTTACAAAACCATCAGATCTTGTGAGACTTATTCATCATCATGAGAATAGCATGGGAAAAAGCTACCCCCTTGATTCAGTTACCTCCCACAAGGTCTCTACACAACACGTGGGGATTATTACCATTCAAAGTGAGATTTTGGTGGGGACACAGAGCCAAATCATATCAGTTTTCTTTTCAGATTATATATTTATACATAATATACAACAGTATATACAGTTATATTAACTTCATTGCTTAACTTTATTGAAAATTCATACAACCTAGCATGGATTTTCTTTTCTACCCTTTGTTGAACATTTTGTTGACTGAGCTGACTGGTTAGTTAATTACAAACAGTTGAACAGACTTTATAGATCAAACTTCTAGGTAGACATTTATACTCATATGGGCAAAAAATTATTAGATTCAGAAAACTAAACAAAACAAGAACACATTGGATTTCTAGCCATTCACCAATGGGGTGTATGGTTTTAAAATGTTTGCCATTTTATCCGTTGGTCCTCAGAACTAGAGCCCTGCCTCTTTCAAGGCTTTACCAGAAAAGGGAAACACAAAGGCATATTCAACCTAATTCTTGCCCTGAAGAAACTGATAATGCAATTTAGGAGGCAGAATTTATGCACTTTAGAATCACACAGACTTATCTGGGCTCTGCTTCTTATTAGTTGTGTGACCTTAGGCAAACCTCTCTGGGTCTCAACTGACTCATCTGTAATACTGTGATAATACTGCCTGCCCCATGACGTGTTTTTTGGTCTCATTGCACTCACGACTTAAATTAGATTAAAACATTAAATTGTATTAAATTTGTGTACAGGCTTCACCTCTGATTAAGCACATTAGCTTCTCAGTGCACTGCATAAGAAAGACTTAAAGTCTGGGTATAGATGATATAGCTATTGAATAAAGGCAGCATGTGATATTTGCCCTATGAGTAATACATGCAACAAGTACGCAGAGACTCAGAGAGAGAAAGCTTAGGAAAACTGATGTGCTGAGAAGGTCAGCAATTGAGAACGGGCTTGAGGGAAGAGTTCAAATAAGCACAGTTCTACAATGAAATACAGAACTTAGTTTATATTTAGAAGTAAAATATTTAATTCCATTGATCGCACACTTATAGATGTTAATGCTTAATGAACGTCTCAGCGTGTATCGGGCACTGAGCTAAACTTTAGAAGAATTAACTGATACAACCTATCATCAGTCACATTTATCAGGAAACTAAGATTCAGGTTAACTCGTCCAAGTCAAATAGCCAGGAAGTGGTAGAGTTTTTTTATTTCATACTGTTCAGTATGAGGCAGCCTTTTAAATCAGTATGTTTTCCTCTCAATCCAACTTCACAAATCCAGTGATTTTATGTAGACAAGCCATACTGTGGAGGTGTTATTGTGATTGTCAGCATTCTAACTTCTTATTTGAGTGGATCTCTGTTAAAGGGGTATTGGGGGAATGTAGTGCTCTGTCTCCTACTATAGAAGATGAAGGTGGCTCCACACAGTGGTCCTTGGCAGCCCAGCCAGGTCAGACACAATCTATGGCTTCCAAGGGAATTGTAGTGATGTTCCTTGCAGGTCCCCTTGGCTGTGTCCTCTGTGGTCCATCTTCCCTTGGTCCCCAACCATTTTCAAGCCTGCCCAGTTACTCTACAAGCCAATTGTATCCTAAAATCTTTTGTCTGCCAAGACCTTTAATTGGTATGCATACATCAAATGTGTTTGTCAGCGTTTAGTGTGATTTCTCATTATGGCTTTTAACAAAATTTTAATAAACAGTTATATAGCTCTTACAATATGCCAAGCACTGTTTTAAATGCGTTACAAGTACTAACCTATTTAATTCTTACAACAACCCTATGATGTAGGTATTATACTGTATTACAGATGGGAAAACTGAAACGCTGGATAATCAAAAATAGCTCAAGATCTCACAGCTAGTAAACAATGAAGCTTTTTAAAAAACATTTTAAATGGATAGTTTTCACAAACATTTAGTCTTGTCATCAGCATAAGAGCATCTGTAGAGTTTTGCTTCTGAAAATGCAATCACTGCAGCTAACCAGGTGGTGTGGAAACTAGACTTTTTCCATTGCATATAGATAATCAAGTATGAACAGTATACTTAGGAAAACATGCTCTTGAAGTTGACTCTGTGTGTGCAGTTGGCTTGGGGCACACTTGCACCAGATTTTTGACATTCACCTTTGAGGCATATGCCAGCTGTGTTCCAGATGGCATGTGAAGCAGAAGGATGCAGAGCTTTCCTCGTTTTTCTTTTAATCAGCATTAAAGAATGGAAGTAAATATTGGTTGTCTATTTTTAAGCAATTGAAGTTTTGTAAAGATGTGGAAGTCCACAATATACTTAGTATAGTGGTGTGAACTGTGGGCAGCCCAAAAGATCTCTCCATGTCCTACCCCCAGAATCTGTGAATGTGACCTTATTAGGAAAAAAGGAGTCTTTGCAGATAAAATGAAGGATGCTAGATGAACTCATCCTGGATTATCCAGGTGGTCCCTAGATACAATGGCAAATGTCCTTAAAAGGAACAGAAGAGAAGTCACAAGGATTAGGCCATGTGAAGCTGGAGGCTGAGAGTGATGCAGCCACATGCAAAGAACAACTGGAGCCACCAGAAGCTGGAAGAGGGGAGGAAGGATCCACCCCAAGATTCTTACAAGGGAGCATCACTCTACTAGTACCTGGAGATAGGACTTTGAAACTATGAAAGAATAAATTTCCATTGGTCAAGTCACTCGTTTTGTGATAATTTGCTATGGTAGCCACAGGAAATGAGCACATTTGGGGAGGTAAATTTTTTGCTTTTCTGATTGTTTAGTACTTTGACACCTACCACTCAAATCCTTACTGTAACAGGTTAGTTATCAAGACATGAACACAGAAAGGAAAAAAGTTCCCAAAGCTATCATTTTCCCTTTTTCTTTTGAATATTCTTTTTTGAAACAAAATTTGGACTGTGCTTGCATTTTTGGGGAGGATGGTCTTTGACCCCTTGGCTGCATCTGGGGGTACTCAGTGTAGATTTTTATGAAAGCTGTGCTCCTTCCTTGGGGCAGAGGATCGCTCAACTTTTCATTTCCCTTCAGAGAAAACTTCCATCTACTGAAATCCATTTCTGTGGACTCACAAGATTCATTCCTACTTTTTATTCCAAGAGTTCCTATAAATAGTTTCAAACAAATTTGTTCCATGATGTTTCCTCAGTTTTGGTTTATGAGATATGCATAAACATATGTGTATTAGTCTGTTCTCACGCTGCTAATAAAGACATACCCAAGACTAGGTAATTTATAAAGGAAAGAGCTTTAACTGACTCACAGTTCTACGTGGCTGGGGAGGCCTCACAATTGCGGCAGAAGGTGAATGAGGAGCAGTCATGTCTTAATTGGTGGCAGGCAATGTACAGGGGAATTCCCATTTATAAAACCATCAGATCTTGTGAGACTTACTTATTACCACGAGAGCTCTATGGGGAAAACCACCCCCATGATTCAATTATCTCCACCTGACCCTGCCTTTGGCATGTGGGAGTTACTACAATTCAAGGTGAGATTTGGGTGAAGACACAGCAAAACCATATCAATATGTGTCCACTTTTTAAGAGTTATATATTTTATTTAATTTAGAGATGGGGGTCTCACTATGTCCCCCAGACTGTACTCAAACTCCTGGGCTCAAGCCATCCTCCCACCTCAGCCTCGAGTAGCTGGGACCATCCTCAAGCCATCATCTCACCTCAGCACCTGAGTAGGTGTATGACATTGTGCCCTGCAAGAGTTATATATAACTTAGGACTTAGAAATCCCCAAAGGCACATGTAGTGCCACACAGCAATGAAAAAAATCATGATCCTTTTTCTTCATTTTGAAAGTGCAGATAATAGCACAAGCAATTTACTGGGCCACAAGTTTGAGTATCATAGTTCACCATGAAATGCGAATATAAAAATATCAGCACAATGTGAAGATAAAAATATCAGAACATAAACCTAAAGGTGGAGTTCATTACTCTTTAATGTCAAGATTGCTGATGGTTTGGCTTTTCTGGAACATTCCTGCCATATTTTGCTGGAAATATATAGAGCTCTGTGACTTTCCTTTTCCTTTTGATATTTTTGGCATTTATGTGTCTGAATCCAATTGAAATCAGGAAGTTGAAAACTTATGATAAACCCGGTTGTCCTTTTAACTGCTGCCCTCAGGGGCTTACTTGAGAAGTGCCTCATTCTCAGTAATTCTGTGACCTGATCCAGGATGCAAAAGAGAATTTCCCCCCAGGATCTCTCCGAGCGAGTCCTCTGAGTCCTGATCAAGATTTGGCGTAAGTTAGACATACCACCACAGGCGTCTGCAACAGGGCCTGGCACCATCACGAGAACATTCTGTGCATCTCAGAGTGAAGGCTTCGAGTGGCATTTCGCTTCTTAATCCCCCGAGTCTTATGTAATGCTAACTGACATTCTGGCTTATAAGATCTTATCTCATGTCAGTCTGAAGGCTGGAGCTGCTGTTCTAAATGTTTCCAGGGCCTTGGAGGCTGACCGAGCTCACCGGAGTCTGAGACAGGAGAATATTGAGAGGCGGACCTGTTATCCATCCCCTGGGTCTTCTCTGCATTTGAGAGCTTGTGTGGTGAGAGGCTCGCTCACGGGTCCTCTTATTTTATCTGGTAGACCTGCTCCTTCAGGATGCTACTAACATGAGGAAAAAAACTGTTGAGTCCTGGATCTGGTTTTATGAGTTTGACCCAGTACAATGAATGCTTTGATGTGAGCTGCAGATATATGTCACTCCTGCCGAGGAATTAGCTGAAGTTTAATGAAAGACCCGTATCTTCTCCTGCTAAGAGTTTTGTTCTGCTCTCTCTGTTCCCATTCCTAGTCTCCCTTCTCCCCTCCACCTCCCCACTTTTATCGTTGCTTTTCAGAGTGGCCATTGGAAGTTCTGGCCTTACTCCTGAATATATCCTGGGGCATAGCAGTCACCAGTACTGAATACCCTCTTCCCTTCCTCATTAAATTTTCCGATTGAGCCAGTTTAACTGGCTGTTGACAGTGCAAATATATCTCCAAGAAACGAAAGAAGTTTAATGTCCTTTCACTCACCCATCTACCCAACCATCCTTCCATCCCCCTTTTCTCTATAACTGCCTGAGCACTTGTGTCTCAGCTGTGAGGTTGGATTAGGGAAACTAAATTGGTTAGAGACCCTACATTGACCTTACAATCACATTCTTCTCAAGGTTTGCAGGTGGTGAGAAAGGCTGTCGGGAATATGAGAAAAAAAAGAGGGGGAAGATCCAAATGTTTCTCTGGATCAGTTTATCCAAAGGACAGAGAAAAATGAAAAGTAGTTTAAAGTCATCAAAAGATGGAACAGTCCTTCTTCTTCATCCTGTCACTTCTTCCTGTTCCTTCAAAACTGTATGGCCACACAGGATTCCATGGGAAGACGAAGAGATGGAAGGCACACAGAAGTGACTCTCGCTGGGCACCACTGGCCTCCATGTCCGCAGTCCAGTCGCTTTTCCCTGTCTGTGTTGTACTAGAACTCTCCACGGCCTTTGACTCTTGGGACCATTTTATATAATAGCTGTGCAACATCTGTGCTGTTTTTCATATGGAGAGTTGACAGCACTGATCTGCTTCAAACGACAAGCGTGTTGAATGGCTTTTTGGGAATTGTAGTAGTGTTGCTATCAGTGAAGACTGTTTCCCTTTCTTCCTCTGATGATGACTTCCTTACTTGGGAAGCAAACCCAAAACCTTATTCTTGTTAGCTCCGTATTCTAAGAAACTAAGAAAAGACAATTAAGCAGCTGCTATCAAAGGAACAATGCCATCTCTTAATCGGGAAAACTCCTGCAGCTTGGATCTACATGAAAATGTAGATCATTTCAAAGTGGCATTTTGCTCAGAACTGTTATTTTTTACAGCACAATGCTTTTCAATTTAAATAATTAGAATCATAATAGAGGCAAGAGGGAGTAGAAACATGCTTCTAAAAATTTTAAGCAGAAAATGTCTGAAGCTTTGTCAAGAAGATGATTCTTGCCGGCTACTGCCATACCAAATAATGGCATTTCTTTCCATTAAAATATTTTTAAAGCCTTCTTGTTTAAATTTCTTCTATTTCTTTTTAGAGCAGATGGTCTAAATGACCAAAGCCTGTGCCAAGACGGTTTGATTCATTCTTTCGGAGGAGCTGACACCTTGGAAGTGTAAACAGCTGGATGGCTCAGGAGAATAAAATCAGCTGAATTGCTCTGCTCTATCAGTGCTGTTGCAGATTTTTGTTGTCACAACCGGCAGAGAGACTTTCCCAGGAGGCTCAGGTATAGAAAGGCGTGAAGCACCTGAAAACTGTCAGCCATTCTTATCGTCTCTGCTGTCATTGTCCTGAGGAGCGAGGGGGAAGAGCTGGAAGTGGATTTGCCCGCCATTCGGCAGGGTATTTCATGTATTGTGAAATCCGGCGCTCGCAGCAGCCTTGCCGCAGGGGAGCACAGTGTAAGTGGTGATATTGGAATGTCTGTCTGCTGTTGGGGAAAAGGCACATTTACATAGAAATAAGGATTGATCACCTTACTTTTTTTTTTTTTTTTGAGACAGAGTCTCATTCTGTCACTCAGGCTGGAGTGCAGTGGCATGATCAGGGCTCACTGCTGCCTTGACCTCCCAGGCTCAAGTGATCTACCTCAGCCTCCCTAGTAGCTGGGATCACAATTGTATGCCACCACACCCAGCTAGAGTTCTCACTATCGTGAAAGGAAAATAAATCTTGGGGCCTCAAAATCACTAAGCTAAAAGTCAAGCTGGGCAAACCTGCCTCCCATTCTGCCTCCCTCTGCTCTCTGAGATAAATGCACATCTGGTCGCCTCTTCTGGAGAGGCGAATCGGAAACTCAAAAGAATGCAACCCTGTCTCTCATCTACCTACGACCTGGAAGCCCCCCCGCTGCGAGTTGTCCCACTTTTGCTTTGAGTTGTATAAAAGCAAACTGTGTTTTGACCACCTTGGGAACATGTTGTCAGGACCTCCTGAGGCTCTGTTCACGAGCGTGCGTCCTCAACCTTGGCAAAATAAACTTTCTAAATTGACTGAGACCTGCCTAGGTATTTGGGGTTCACAGTATGTTGCCCAGGTTGTTCTTGAACTCCTGGGCTCAAGTAATCTTCTCCCCTCAGCCTCATTTATTATTTATTTATGTATTTGAAATAGAGTCTCACCCTGTCATCCAGGCTGGAGTGCAGTGGCATGATCTCGGCCCACTGTAACTTCTGCCTCCCGGGTTCAAGTGATTCTTCTGCCTCAGCCTCCTGAGTAGCTGGAATTACAGGTGCCCACCACCACGCCCAACTAATTTTTATATTTTTAGTAGACAAGAGTTTACCATATTGGCCAGGCTAGTCTCGAACTCCTGACCTCAGGCGATCCACCTGCCTAGGCTTCCCAAAGTGCTGGGATTAAAGGCGTAAGCCACCATGCATGGCCCCTGTCAGCCTCCTTTAAAAGCTTGTCCCTCAGAGGATACATCCTTCTCAGGCCACAATGATTTGCACATTTGCAGGAGTCATGGCTCCACATTGTTCTGTGATGACTAAGGGGTCACCTCCTTCCTACTTCCCTGGAAACTTCTGATATGTCTGTCAAGTTCCCAAGGCAAATTCATTCTGGAATGTCTTTTGACAAGAGTGACAGTAGCAGAAGCAGAGTTAGGAAGGCTATTGGGGTTCTCCGTGTGAGGAAAGTACAGTGGGTACATTTTGAAGTAATAACAGACGTCAGACTTTATAAAACTGTTACCCCAGACAGTTTTTAAGTAGATTACTCTCCAGTTTGAAAGATCTGCTTTTTCAGAGAGGCCTGTAGGCTGCTATTTATCTTTGTTCTTGTGCCAGTATTAGTATAATTTGTCATTGGTTGGTTCTTGGGGCTGTAGAGTTGGTGGTAGTCAAACACAGAATGAAATTTTCACCTGTTCTTGAAATTCAAGGAGGGCTCAGATTGCTTAAATGTATGTCATTCTTTAGAACTTATAATACTGAGTCTTGTTCAAATTCGTTGCTCTGGTCTTTTTTATTGTGCCAACTTTCAGATTATCTGTTGAAAAGGGACATAGTGGCATTAACTGTATGTTTTTGTTTAAATACCAAATTCACATTTAGAGAAGCTAGAATGCTTCCTCAGTATCTAAGGATTCTGTGTAATTGTTTTTGTTTTTCCTTTAACAGAGATAAATTACTGAGTTCTTGTGGCATGCCACTCATACTGCAATGAATGTAAGGAATTTATAAACGAACAACTGAGCAATCACAATGTAAGTGATATAACAAATATATGTCCCTAGGGCTATGGGGGTTCAGGAGGGACACCAATAACTTCTGACAAGGTGCAGGGATTGGGTAGATTTCACAGCTGTGATATTGGATGTAGGTCTTGTTGTGGCAGTTTTTATTAACTTGGAGGAATTTAGGACCAGATACATGGGTAGCAACAATCTAGGTTAAAGACTAATGGAACTCAAATTCAAACAGGGGCAGCGGAGGTGTATTTGAAACTTTTGGGAGGCTTGTTGAATTGACTGCCTGTAGGGGCTGAGGGGGATGGAGGAGTCACAAGTGGTGGATATTCCTGCTTGAACACTGAGTAAATATGGGTACATTGGCTTAGGTAGGAAACCCAGGAGGAAAGGACATTTAGGGCACGATAATGAATTTTATTCTAGACATGGTCAATGTGAGGTGTCCAGATGCAATCCTGGGGGAATATCCAATGGAGGTTTGCATAGGCAAAACTTAGAAACAAGCTCTGTGCTGAACAGATACATACGGGAGTGCTAAGTGTGGCATGTAACATCTTTTGTGGAATAGTCCCTGGCTGTGCACCTAGCTTTATCTCTTGCTATTTACCTCTCTCGTTATGTTTGCCAAGTTTATTCAGCTACATGCAGCTGGATCCTCTCTCACTTCTGGTCTTTACATGTACCCTTAATTGTGCCTGAAACACCTATTCTCTGTAAATTGGCAGGGGTGGGGGGTGGGGAAGACCAAAAACAAAAGGAAACAAAATAACTGTCTCAGTGAAAAACTGACAAATACACTGGCTTATTCATATAGTGAAATACTATTCAATAGTTAACATGAAGGATTAGACCTTCATTTGGAACACAAAAGCCTAGTGTTGACTGAAAACAACCAAGTTGAACTGGCTATGTACAGCATGATACCATTTTTATGGTATTGAATACCATACAGGTGTAGCAAATATGTATATGAGTAGAAGAACTGACAACTTTGAACATGATAAACATGATGTGTCTCCATTTATTCAGATGTATTTTTATAGTCTTCAATAGAGATGTAACATTTTGGCATAGAAATCTTGTGCAATTTTATTACCATCCATTCCCAATCTCTCTCTTATTATCCATCATAGATGCAGACCAATGTTTCTTCCTCTGCTAGGGTTTCTCCTACTTGTACCACAAGAGTGGTTGAGGTTTTCTTCTTCATGTTTCCATGGCCCCTTTGAGAATAAAGGCAATATCTTATTCATGGTGACATTTCTGACTCTTCACCAAGGTATGGGATATAGATGATCATAATTAATATTTGTTTTTATTTTGTTTTGTTTTTATAGAGAAATCAGGTCTTGCTATGTTGCCCAGGTTGATCTGGAACACCCAGGTTGAAGTGATCCTCCCACTTCGGCCTTCCAAAGTGCTTGGATTACAGGTGTGAGTCACTGCACAGTCAGTAATATTTGAAGACAAGTGTTAGTTGAGCCATGAGAGTTAATGAGCTCTTCTAAAGGATGCATATAAAGGCAGCAAGAAATAAGGGAAGCTCTGACAAGTACCAAAATGTGGGGCTAAGGTTGGAGTTATAGAGCAAAAGAAAGTTGCGAAAAGGACTGAGGACTATAGAGAGGAGGAAAAAGAGGAGAATCAGGATTAAGGGGGAGAGAATTTCTAGAAGATTGTATAAATGGTATCAGATATCCTAGAGCAGCCAAGTGAGATGTGGTCTGGAGTTTCTACTGCTAGAGAAAATCAGTGGAACCCTCATGAGAACAGGGAAGGGGCTGGGGGAGGAACTTGACTGGGTGTCGTGTTTCTTTCCAACGTCTTCCAGCAGCTATGGAAACTGAGATGCTTTCTTCTGTGTGAGAGAACTTGAGTTTTTTGGGTTTTTTTTTCTTGTTTAATCTCAATCTTTCTCTGTCATCTTCATGAGTGTTTCCATGGTGTACTTAAATGCTTTTGATTTACATGTTTGTAGGTTTTCAAAAGTCCAACGTATATCCAAAAGAAAGGAATTAATTAACATGCATCAGTCTATTTAAGTGGTTTCTAGTTACCTAGCTGCCAGGCTCTTTGTATCCTAATTTCTTAGACAAAATCTACTTTTAGTTGCCCTCTGTATTCCAGAAGAAAATAGGGCATACACAAGACTGTGTATGATACAGTTTTGATATGTATGAATTTCAGCCACCATGCTTTAGTGAAATAATACCATCCCCCAACAGCATCATTCAAATTACCATGGTGTATTAGCTCTAAGTAGCTGCATAAATTACACAATTCACTGCTAGCTCTTCAGTCCACAAATCACTATGCAAATGACAGATGCACATCATAATCAGTGACCAATCATACAACTTATTTCAAAGTCTGTCAGTCACTGTGTATCTGTTACTCAGTTCATGCACAGACAGCAAAGTGTGCAGTTGTGTTGCCTTCTTGTCTCCCACATGATGTTTCATCACAATGGATAATCAAAAGAGGGAACTGACCAATAAAGATAAAATTGCAGCAAAAAAGCCCAAAAGTGATGATGCTGCAAGTGAAACTTGAATCAAATATAAATGGAGTTACAGAAGAAAGAGCTCACGGTGGAACTATTGATACAGCCACCATTGAGAGACTTTAGATAAGCAGCTAGAAAAACTAAATGAAGGTGAATTTATTGACAAAAATGAGGAAAGAGATTTTGACCCAAATGTCCATTGAATGGATGAGCAAAATGTGGTATACCCATACAATGGAATTTTATTCACCGATAAAAAGGACTGAAGTGCTGGTACATGCTACCACATGGGTGAACCTTGAAAACATTATGCTAAGTGAAAAGCCAATCACAAAAGACCACATAGATTATATGATTTTATTAACATAAAATGTCCTGGGCAAATCCATAGAGAGAGAAAGTAGATGAATGGTTGCCTGGGGCTTCGGGAGTGGGGAATGAGGAGTCATTGCTAATGGATATAGGATTCCTTTTAGGGGCGATGAAAATATTCTGAAATTAGATCATGGTGATGGTTGTACAACTCTGTGAATATACAGTTAGTCCTTCATATCAGTAGGTTCTGCATCTGTGGATTCAACCAATAGTGGACCAAAAATATTCAGAAAAAAAAATTGCATTTGTTCTGAGCATGCACAGACAACTTTTCTTGTCATTATTCCTAAGCAATACAGTATAACATCTATTCACATAGCATTTACATTGTGTTAGGCATTATAAGCAATCTAGAAATGATTTAAAGTATATGGGAGGATATGCGTAGGTTATTTGCAAAGACTATGCCATTTTATATCAAGGACTTGAGCATCTGCAGATGCTAGTATCCACAGAGGATCTTGAAACACATTCCCCACAGATCACCAAAGGATGACTAAAAACTAATGAATTGTGGACTTTGAGTTTTATGGTATGTGAATTATATCTCAATAAATCTGTTATTAATGAAATACAAGATACTACATAAATACTAGTTTTATTATTTTTTCATTTTCCTATATACTTAAAACCAATAGAGAGATTATAATATTCTTACAAGAAATTTTAAAAGTCACAGAGCAATCATCATTTTTCCCCTTGACTATTAAGAGTGTTTAATACAGTTTCGGCTGCAGTCATTTTTACAGCCCTGCACCACCATGCAATGGAGGGTTGCCTAGAACTTCTAGAACAGCTTAGCAAAAAATTCTCTAAATTCTCTAGCAAGTCAAGGCTAAAGCTTATTGGCCAGTTCCTTTAATTATAGGTGCGGCTTAACAAAAATGGCTTTTACTAGTATTGTCTGTGAGAGTATAGTGAAGATTAATGTTTTCAATTTGAATCCTTATCTATTTATTAACTAAGATTAAAACAAATCCAATCAGTGAAGCAAATATTCAAGCTTCATTATGACTTCCAAGTTATCGCTCCTTGACAGGCAGAATTATAAGATGGCCCCCAATATTCTTGTCCCATGGTGTAAAGACTGTGTATGATCCCTTCACCTTGAGTGTGGTTAGGACCAGTGAATAGAATAGGATACTCTCTCCCTTAGGCTATGTTATCTAAGATGCCATCATAGCAGGCTGGAAGGGGGATCTGCTGCCTTTAAAGAAGTGAACTGCTGTTGTGGAAGGGCCTGCATGGCCAGGGCCTGAGTGCAGCCTCAAAGACTAAGAGCTAATAGTTTAATAATAATAATAATAATAGGCCGGGTGCGGTGGCTCAAGCCTGTAATCCCAGCACTTTGGGAGGCCAAGGCGGGTGGATCACGAGGTCAAGAGATCGAGACCATCCTGGTCAACATGGTGAAACCCCGTCTCTACTAAAAGTACAAAAAATTAGCTGGGCATGGTGACGCATGCCTGTAATCCCAGCTACTCAGGAGGCTGAGGCAGGAGAATTGCCTGAACCCAGGAGGCGAAGGTTGCGGTGAGCCAAGATTGCGCCATTGCACTCCAGCCTGGGTAACATGAGTGAAACTCCGTCTCAAAAAAAAAAAAAAAAATAAATAATAATAATAATAATAATAGCTACTACTACTAATGGTAATAGCCAGCAAGAAAATGGCACTCAATCCTGTAGCCACAGGAACTAAATCTGCTAACACCTCAAATGAACTTGGAAGAGAACCTCAAGCTCCAGATAAGAATGGCACTTGGCCGACACCCTGATTTCAGCTTTGTGAGACCCCAGATAGAGAGTGTCACTTGCCATGCCCAGGCTTCTGACCTATAGAAGCTGTGAGATGATAACTGGATGTTGTTTTACATGGCTAACTCTGTGATCATTTGTTATGCAGCAATAGGAAAGTTATAGACTTGACAATCAGAGCCAATAAAAAGTTAACTTAGTTTTCTTCACAGAAATCCTGGTGGGGACACATCTCTCCAGAGAGGAGTAGCAGCGTGTTTGCCAGGAGCCCCTGTGTAAAGTCAGGGTTTCTGAATCTCGAGGTTTCCTCTCCGATAATGTACCCCACTGCATATGCATCAACACTTGGCCCTTTTCATGTCACCCAGTGCGATTGCAGCTCAGAGAAAGGGGGCAATGATGTTTCTCTGGTTACTGCCATTGCTGTGAGTCATAAACTGTCTTTTGTCTCTGACCCAGAATGGCTGTGTCTTCTGCCTGTATTTATAAAATTGTGACAAGATATCTTGTTGCCTTGCTAGCAGAATAAAATCTCAAGCCCTTTCACACACAGTTCCTGGCTTGACAGACACAGCAATTTGTGTATCTATCCATCTGTTAACGGGCATTTGGGTTGTTCTCTGTTTGGAGGTTTTTATAAGTAAAGCTGCTTAAACATCCATGCATAAGTCTTTGTATGGACATGTATTTCCTTTTCTTTTGGGTAAATACCTAGGAGTGAAATGCCTGGATCATTTAGTAGGTGTATGTCTCTTTTTCAAAAAGAAATTTCCAAACTTATATTCCAAAGTGGTCGTACCATTTTTTATTCGCCCCAGAAGAATATGAGAGTCCCAGTTCCTCCACATTCCTGTCAACCCTTCATATGTTCAGTCTTTAAAAATTTTAACCATTCTAATGGGTAGGTAGGGGTATGTCATTATAGTTTTAATTTGTATTTTCCTAATTACTAACCTGCTAATATGTGAACTTCTATGTATCTTCTTTGATGAAGAGTCTATTCAAATCTTTAGCCCATTTTAAAAAATAGCTGTTTTAAAGTCTTTATCTGCTAATCCCATCATCTCTGTCATTTCAAGGTCTTTCTGTTGACTGCTTTTCTCCTGGTTCCAGATCATATCTTGCTGCTTCTTCACATGTCTAGAGATTATGTATTGTATGCTATAGATTACAAATGCTACAGAGTTGAATGTTTGCATTTGTTATGTTCTCTTCTAGAGTGTTGGATTTTGTTCTGCCTGGCAATTGGTTTCCTTACAGATCATCTTGATATTAAAGCCTTATTAGGTTAGATCTAGAGCAGCCTTTCTTGGATGTCTTCACTCTGGCTGATCAGTACTTGAGCATTTCCAGGCCTATCCAGGCTCCAGTAGTTCAACTCTCAGCTCCCTAGTGTTCCTTTATCAGTCGCACCGAGTCTTGCTTACCCTACTAAGGAGTAGCTTGGTATTTAGCCACAGCCTCCAGGACATCCCTATGCAGATATCTGGAACTCCTCCTCTGCAAGTGCTCTCTCGATGGGACCACGCTCTGCACATTCTGTCTCTGTAATCCAGAGTCTCAATTTCTATCTCCTCAGTTCATCAGCAACATTGTGTTATGTTGGGCTTCCTCCCTGTGCCACAGTCTGGAAAGTGCCTAAAGTCAGAAAGGGTTATCAAGGGACTCTCAGGGACCACAGTCTTGTGCCTCCTTTTGCTCCATGTCTGAAAACTGTAATTTCATATATTTTGTCCAGTGTTATTGTTGTTTACTGCGGGAGAGCTAGGCCAGTACCGGTTAATCTATTGTGGCCAGAAGCAGAATCCTAAGTCTGCTATATTGGGAAATTTCATTTAGGAAGGTGGTCAGGGAGGGCCTCCCTGAGGAACAGATAATGATTGAAATGAAAAGACATGGAGAAGTGGCTCACCTGGCCTCCTGAGTGTCTACCTTTTACCTCCTGACTAGTTCCTCTGAGATTTTTAGGTAAAAGAGGTTATTAGGGCGGATTTAAAGGTTTTGTCTTATTTCTGGTTTTCAGCTAAGTAGCAAAACTAAAATGTGTCTAGAGCTAGTTCCAGGTAATTTTCCCTAACTCTTTACAAATTAATCATAGATTCAGGAAGTGAATCTTTTAAAGCTATTTGTTTTGTTAGTCTAAGAAGCAAAAATGTTAATGTGACTAATGAACTATCTTGAAGAAACATTAAAGTTTGAAAATAATGTTTATCTCTGGTAAACAGTGGATCTTAGCCCCTCCAAAATACTAAAGGCATCAGTTATGAAGGCTACAAGTTTGTGTCAAAGAAGTGGAATGAAGGGATGTGGGAGCCTGCGTTTAAATTTTTGCTTTGCTCTTTTTTTGTTTGTTTGGAGTGCAGTGTTGCAATCATAACTCACGGCAGCCTGAAACTCTTAGGCTTGAGGGATCCTCCCGTCTCAGCCTCCTGAATATCTGGGACTATAGGCATGTTCCACCACGCCTGGCTAAATTTTTTATTTTTTAGTAGAGCCTGAGTCTCACTATGTTGGTTTCAAACTTCTGGCCCCAAATGATCCCTCAGCCCTGGCCTCCCAAAGCACTGGGATTACAGGTGTGAGCCACTGTGCCCAGCCTCCTGTGCTTTGTCTAACTGACAACCTTGGGCAGGTCCTTTGATACCTCTGGGCTGTGTGTGTCTGTGTGTGTGTGTGTGTGTGTGTCTGTTTCTTCTGTAGATGAGAAAGTGAGGTTAGCTCCTTTCTGGCTTCAAGGCAGCAAGTAGAGGGCTTTTGTTACATGCATGTGGTTTCAGAATCAGACTTGCACTTGAACCTTGGGCTTGCCATCCACAGTCTGGGAGGCCTTGGAAAAAGAACTGCTTTCTCTGGAGCCCCAGGTTTCTCTTTAAAACTGGAATACCTAATGTTAAGGTTAATGTGAGGATAAGTGATGTAACAAACCATGTGCTCAGCTCAGAGCCCAACACAAGGTAAAGGTATGTAACAAACAGGCCACCAAAAAAAAAAAGTGAACCTGCCAAAGTAATGGGTGGTAAGTCAGCATGGCATGCCTATCTGTACTGCATCTGATGCTTCTGCGAGTCCTGGCTGCTAAACATGTGTTACCCTAGTGAATGTAAATCTTAATAGGAAAAGAATAATTTTAAGCACTTAGAAAATGAAGGAGGCAATGATTTTTACATGTGTACAGATCAAACGGAATTGTTCCTCTGAATGTGCATGAGCCGTCGCCTCAGGGCTGGTGAAGGCAGCCAACAGCTGTTTCTATTTAACTCTAAAACTTGATCTCACCCATTCCCAGCCTCCCAGCTCTACCAGACCAGCTGGAGGTCCTCACAGACTCTTTTGTGAAGCTTCACTTCCCAGAAGAGGCCGGAGCCAGCCCTGCTTTCCCTGTATGTTTGTTATGTTTCCTCTGGTTTTTGATTTGACCTTCTATGCCTGTTAGTTCCCACGCAGTTCTGAATTGGTTCTTTGAGCTTTTAGCTATTGCCAAAGCCTCTGACTGCTTTTCTGTCAAGGTGGGAAGGAATGAATTTGGGAAGAAGGGAAAAACAGAGTAAGCTTTTGTGGTGCACACTGTTGGCTGCCAACTGAAATCCATTGTCCCTGTCTCTTTTGCTAGTGGAACCTCAGTTTTGTTCAGGATGGTAATATGCCCAATAAAATGTTGACTTCAACCCTCAAAGCTAGGTGTGGCCAAGTGGAGTAGTCTGGCCCATAAGATGTAAGAGAAAGTTGCCGAGTAGGGCTGCTGGGAAAGCTCTTTATAAAGGAGCTATCTCAAAGGGTCATTTTTTGTTGTTGTTGTTTGTTTATTGTTTGTTTTTTGCACTTCACCAGGCACTTAACTGTAGCTGACTGCAGAAGCACTGCCTGGGAGTGTAGGAGACATCTTACAAACATGGAGCTGAAGGCCATGGTCTCAGATGAAAGAGAACAGAGCTCAAAACAGGGTGGGTTTCCCCTGGCACCAGGGAGCTGCTGAACCAACTTTGGATGACCTAACTCTGGACTGCTTTTTGACAAGAAAGAAAATGGAACTCCTGTTTTATTTAAGGTAAGGTTTAGTTGATTCTTCTGTTATTTGCAGTAGAATGCAAACCTAAGTGATAGTACTTTTTGTATGAAATTGAGATAAATATTTGTCTGTGTTCATGGGGGAAGTAATATGCTCACCAGCATAGAAGATAATTAAGCAAAGGTTAGATGGTCATCACTCAGGTGTGTTTAAAGGGATTCTTGCATTAAGTGGAAAGTTGAACTTGGCAGAAAAGCAGAATGTTTATTAAAGAAAAATAATTTGGGATGAAAATGGCTTATGGCACCTCAAAGTTAAATTTCAATTACTGTAAAATAAAATTTCTTTATTATTTTAGCATGCATGGAAGCTACAATTCTATGTGTGTAACATATTTTTTCCCACTTTTTTTTTTCAAATTTATGAGGATTAAGAAAACATTTAAAAAATTTGCAGGCATTTAGGAAACACAGCAGAATTTTCATTCAGTGAATCAAGTTCACCTTAGATAAAAAGTTGATTTTAAAAATCCTGTCATTTATGACAACCTGGATGAACCTGGAGGACACTACACTAAGTGAAAAAGCCGTGCACAGAAAGACAAATTCTGTATGATCTCACTCATGTGTGAAATCTTAAATGTGGAACTTATAGAAGCAGAGGGTAGACTGGTGGTTACCAGGGTTCAGGCGTGAGGAGAGGAGACTGGGCAGATGTTGGTCAAAGTATATAAAACTTCAGTGAGGAGGAATATGTTCAGCAGATCTATTGTACAACATGGTGATTATAGTTAATAACAATGTATTATGTACTTAAAAATTGCTAAGAATAGATTTTAAATGTTTTCAACACACACACACATACATAAAGCAATAAGTATGTGAGGTAATGGATATGTTAATTAGCTTGATTTAGTTATTTCACAATGTATACATACTGTAAAACATCATGTTGTATACTATAAATATATACAATTTTTATTTGTCAATTAAAGAACTAAAAATCTAAAAAGTCAAACAAACTTTCTCAAATAAAAAAGACTGTTTCATGTAGAGCCTTCTGGGACCCCTAATTAAGCATGGTAGCTTGAACTCATGCTTATCTTGGCTCCTTCTTAAAACCTCATTAAAATTAAAGATATGAAAAAGGATAGATAAGACCACAGAAACAAAGAGAATGTAAGAGAAAAGAAAAGCTGACAAGAACATGTAAGAAATTTATAGAAGATAGAGAATGGATGGGAGAATAGTAAAAAGGTTAGTAGGGAAGAAAAAGGTAAAAATGAGTGCCTACAACCCACAACCAACATCTTATTTAATAGTGAAATATTAAAATCGAGAAAAAGGAAAAAGATAGTGAAATATTGTAAGCTTTCTGCCTGTGATTGGAAATGACAAGAATTCCTGCTATTGTTAGCTCCACCTATACTCAACATTGTATTGAATGTACAATAAAATGTAAAATAACACCATTTACAAAAGCAACTCAAAACATCAATGTCTATGGCAAATCTAGTAAAAAATTTTAGAGACTGCCATACAAAAAAGCTATATAATGTCATTAAAAGAAATTAAAGAATATCTTTTAAAAATGGAAGGATTCACCGTGTTCATAGATTGGGAGCGCTAATATTGTAAGATACAATATTGTAAAATTGTAATTCTTTCCAAATTAATTTGTTGGTTCAATGCAATTCTAATCAAAATCCTGATAGATAATTTTGTGGAAATTGGTAAACTGATTCTAAACTTTATGTGAAAATGCAAAGACTCAACAATAGTGAGGACAACCTGAAGGTGAACAAAGCTTGTAAAACGTATTCTTAAATCACAATTATTGTGATGGTTTTGTTGTTGTTTTGAGATGTAGTCTTGCTCTGCCACCTAGGCTGGAGTGCAATGACATGATCTTGGCTCACTGAAACCTCCACCTCCTGGGTTCAAGTGATTTTTCCCGCCTCAGCTTCCTAACTGGGATTACAGGCGTATACCACCACTCCCAACTAATTTTTGTATTTTTAGCAGAGATGGTGTTTAACCATGCTGGCCAGGCTGGTCTCGAACTCCTGATCTCAAGTGATCTGCCTGCCTTGGCCTCCCAAAGTGCTGGGATTACAGGCAGAAGCCAACATGCCCAGCCTGTGATGGTTTACCTTGTACCAACATCACAATTTACTTGGAATTTAGTTTTTAATATGGTATGAGGTAGGGATCCAGATACATATTTCAGCCAAGACTGCATCTGCCCCACAAGCACAGAGCCACACCCTTGTTGCTCCACTGCCCATCCATACCCACCACCAGCTCACCATGGATGATCATATTGTCTCACTCATTGTCAGCAACAGCTCTGGCATGTGCAAGGCTGGGTATGATGCTCCCCAGACCGTCTTCCTCTCCATTATGGGATGCCCTAGGCACCAAGGCGTGATGGTGGGAATAAGTCAGAAGGACTCCTATGTGTGTGATGAGGCCCAGAGCAAGAGAGGCATCCTGGCCCTGAAGTACCTACCCCATCGAGCATGGCATTGTCACCAACTGGGACGACATGGAGAATATATGGCACCACACTTTCTATAACAAGCTGCGTGTGGCTCCTGAGGAGCATCCTGTGCTGCTGATTGAGGCCCCCCTGAACCCCAAGGCCAACCATGAGAAGGTGACCCAGATCATGTTTGAGACCTTCAATATGCCAACCATGTATGTGGCCATCCAGGCCATGCTGTCCCTGTATGCCTCTGGCTATACCACTGGCATTGTGATGGACTCTGGTGATGGGGTCACCCACACTGTGCCCATCTACGAGGGGTTTGCCCTCCCCCACACCATCCTGCGTCTAGACCTGGCTGGCCAGGACCTGACTGACTACCTTGTGAAGATCCTCACAGCTTCACCACCACAGCTGAGTTGGAAATCATGTGTGACATCAAGGAGAAGCTGTGCTACATTGCCCTGGACTTCAGGAAGGAGATGGCCATGGCGGTTTCCAGCTCCTCCCTTGAGAAGAGCTATGAGCTGCCCGACGGCCAGGTCATCACCATCAGCAATGAGCAGTTCTGCTGCCCCGAGGCACTCTTCTAGCCTTCCTTCCTGGGTATGGAATCTTGTGGCATCTATGAAACTACCTTCAACTCCATCATAAAGTGTGACATGGACATCTGTAAAGACCTGTACGCCAACACAGTACTGTCTGGTGGCACCACCATGTACTCTGGCATTACCGACAGAATGCAGAAGGAGATCACCACCCCTGTGCCCAGCACAATGAAGATCAAGATCATTGCCCCTCCCAAGCACAAGTACTCCGTGTGGATCGGCGGCTCCATCCTGGCCTCAGTGTCCACCTTCCAGCAGATATGGATCAGCAAGCAGGAGTACGACGAGTCCAGTCCCTCCATTGTCCACCGCAAATGCCTCTAGGCAGATGTGACTTGCGTTACACCCTTTCCTGACAAAAGCTAACTTGCATAGAAAACAAGATGAGATTGGCATGGATTTATTTGTTTTTTTGTTTTATTTTGTTTTTTGGCTTGACTCAGGATTTAAAAACCGTTTGAAGGTGACAGCAGTCGGTGGGAGCAAGCATCCCCCAGAGTTCTATAGTGTGGCTGAGGACTTGATTGTACATTGTTCTTTTGTTTTATTTTGAAAGATTTTAGCCTCTGTGGCTACCCCTTTTTTGTCCCTCAACTTGAGACATATGAAGGCTTTTGGTTTCCCTGGGCGTGGGTGGAGGCCGCCAGGGCTTACATGTACACTGACTTCAGACCAGTTGAATAAAAGTGCACACCTTTAAAAAGAAAAGATGCGTGTTTCTACAGGATAATCTAGGCACAAAATATACCAGTCGTATAGGAAAATATTGATGTGTGCTCTTACCTTAAAATAAAATACTTCGTTCACCAAAAGACCCATTAAGATAGTCAAAAAGTGAGCTGAAGTGTAAGATATTCACAATACATATAATTAGCAAAGGGCTTCTATCAAGAATATACAAATAATTCTGTCAAATCCATAAGAAAAAGACTACAATCTAACGAGAGACTCACTGATATTAAATAACTTTTTCAAATATACAACAACATAACAATAATTAAAAATAGAATAAGGTCATCTGAGTTCAAATCCTAGCTCTGCCTTTTACTAGCCTTGTTGTCTGCTATAAATTTCTTAACTTCTCTGTTGCTTTTTCCCCACTAGTGATAGTACTTATATCTTAGGGATATTGCAAAGATGAAGTGAGCTAATATAAGCAAAGCTCCAAGAATAATGCCTAGCCCTTTATGTTGACTAAATACATTTGAATTTTTACTATTAAGAATTGGGAGAACAAACCTTTGTTTTCATCCAAAACTCATGCTTTTGATCATTACACTATATGGCCTTTGGGAAATTTTTGCTGTTTGGTTCCCAGTTCACTAAAACCCTGAATAATTTGCTGTTCAGCCTCAACTCTTATCAACCTTTATATAAGCTGTATTATAGGATCGGTGCTTTATTATAAATCCACTCACTCATTTTTAAAGAAGCCTTGCAGTAACACAAAGATGATAATGATGCTAATAACCTTTATTTACTACTTACTGCATGCCACACACGAATCTACACACTTTATATGCCATTTCTCCTTTAACTGCCACATCAACTCTTTAAAGGAGGTATGTTATTATCCTCATGTTAAATAAAAGGAAACTGAGGTACAGAAGATTTAAGAAACTTGACCGAGATCATAGAGTTGCTAAGTGGCAGAGAGTAGATGAGTGCTCAGCTTTGTTGCTCTCAGAATCTGCTGTAATTTTTCTGTAGGAGTAGTCAGGTAATAGTTCATTGATTTTTTTGTTAGATATAAGAATTTATATTCTTATATAAACAGTGAAGCATAACACTGTTCTTTAGGATTCTCAGGGACACAGTGTAACTCACAAAAATAATTGAAATTATTTATAATAGTAAACAGTTTGTATTATGTGTATATAAATTAACCTCAGTAATATATTCCACATAGGCAGAAATGCACAGGCAGACAATACACTAAAATAATAACAGCAATTATTTCTGTTTAGTGAGATTAAAGGTAGCTTCATTTTCTTTTGTAAACTTTTTTATGTTTTTCCATTTTTCTATAATAATTTTACTATAAGAATGGTACTGTTACAAGAAAAAAAATTCAGAGAAAAATTATATATTGTCACAATTTCCAAATGTGAATTGAAAACTGTACTTTAGGTAGACAGCAACAGACAGATGTTTTTAGTCCTGCTGGGTCTTTGTGACCCATCCAGTGGCTCATTGTACCTCAAAAACAAATTTTTGGGTGAAAATTCTGTTTCTGGATGTTAGGGTCATCTCCGTACTTAACCTCAGACTCACATTAGGATTGACTTCATAGATTGGGTACTCCATCTTCTGGAGTGTGAAGCAGCAAAGCCACTTCTTCTTGCTGCCCTTTGGGGTAGCCAAATGCCCACAGGGAGAGAGCCATGCAAGGAAAGGGGAAAGCACTTTGGTTGGGCAGCAAACAAGAATGTCATAGAGATAGGTACTTGGAAATAAATGTCATCGTTCAGTCTGCGGGCAGAAGACTTCCCCATGAGTTTGAGATTTATGAATGATGACTAGAGACATTGGGGAGTAGGGATGAGTAATCAGTTCCTTGCAAGAAGGTGAGCTCTAGAGAAATGTTCTGAGATGGAGGAGGGATGCTGGGAGCTTGGTTTCTGAGGTAAGCAGAGGAATTTGGATGTACTCAAGGGAAGCACAGTTATCCCAGGGTTCTCCATAAGGACCTGGAAATGTTTGGTAAGGTCCTATCCCAAAGAAATTAAGTCAGAGTCTGACAGAGAATGGGCAAAGAGACCATCTTGGCTGCAGCATTTCAAACTAACACAGCTATAACTGCTATGGATGCCAGTAGGAGGTGCCGTAAAGAAGAAAGTTGCAGTAAGATCATGATGTGAGCTGTGGTTATGGATAGAGCAGGGAATCTTGATTCCCCGAGATTTTCCCTTCCCCTGACAGTGTGATTTGGAATATGCTGGCAGTGAGATGATCTTGGTGCAAAAAAACCCAAAACTAACAAAGAAAAAAATCTCAAACTGAGGTCATATCCATCCATGCACCAACTCAACCTTCCCATCCTTAGCACTTGATACTCCCACCATCCAAAGCAAAGCTCGTCATTCTTCCTTCACTGCTTCCTCTCTCAGCTCTGGTTGTTTGAGATTTGGCTTATCCTTCTTAGAATCTGTCTAGATGTTTGTTTTAATCACATATTTTGTTTCTTTGGAAGAATCCTGGCTTCAAAAAAGTACAGGAAGAGACATGAGGCAGAGTTGAAAAATATGACAGGAAAACAGTCAGAATTTGACAAAAGCTAGGACTTGGTGAGAGACGGGTGAGTCTAAATGACCTAGAGGTTTGTCTGTTAGAAGGTGGATAGAACCAGGGCCCTTGGTAGCTCCCTCCTGTCATAAATTGCTTTGTTCTCAGCACGTTCTGATCTTAGTTAGGAGCACACAGAGTTCATCCATAGTTACAGGAAAGGGGAGCCAGTCTATGGGCACAAATACCAGTAGATGACCACCAGGATTTTGGCTTTCTGTAGAGAAAAGCTCAGCACCAGATGGATGAATTCGTTCCATGAAATTCTGAACATTTCTCAGTATTTGTAGGTGGTAATATTATTTATAGGTGGTAATATTTTAAGTAAATGACAAAACTAAAGTTTATACAGCTTGAGGGCATTCATTTCCAAAAGGGATAATGTAAAGGACACAAGTTGCCTGGTACCAGGCCTTGGTGTCCTGCCATGTTGTTCTATTTGCATTGATTGACCAAACTCTGTTCACAAAGTATCCCATAAGATCTGCTTTGGCTCAAACTAACTGAGAAACCACTGTCTTTTTGATAGTTGTGCAAGATGGGAGGGACATGAATACTATAGAAATGAACTTCCTCAGTAATTGGCCACAAGATATTAAATTTGTGATTCAACAATTACAATAGCCATATTGATGAGCCTGGTTTCTTCTCTGCATCAATAGCGTGTTCTCCACCCTCTTTCAGCCATGCACTCCTGTGGCCAAACCTTAGACTTCGTTGTCACCATTAACTCTGCCCTCTTCACCATCTCAAGTGAACGACTCACGAGTCACCTTCCAGCACACCCTCCCTGGAAGCCTCATAATCTCGCAGCTTGTCAGATCTCTTGGGCTTGCTGCCTTTTTACTGTCCCTTGTCTACTTCATGTTTTCACACCCCCCATTATCCAGCTTAGAGTCCATGACCCAGAACTGCAAGCACTCTCATCTCCTTTGCCTCTGTCTGCTAGAAAAACCTGCCTAGAAAAACTTCAACTTTGGCTAGCCCCTTCTCCACGAATTCACTACTACAACCCATGGCCGATTATGACTCAAGAACAACACTCAGCCACGCTGGTTGGCCGCACTCCGCATTCATAACTCACAGCTTCACGTGGGCCCAAGAGCTGCATGGAAATCCTGCCACATTTCCCTGGTCAATTCACTACCTGGCTCTCCTAGACACATGTTTTCTCTTTCCTCAAACCTCTTATACCTCCTTCTCTACACTCTCAGGTGAAGACATTATTTAACTTTCTTCTGCTCTCACTCCCAAATCTATCACCTACTCACCTCCATCTGGCTTTTTTCCTGTTGTTGGTGATGAACTTTCAATGTTCCTATCTCAGGTCAACCCTTCCACTTGTCTGGTAGGTTCTGTCTGCTCTCACTTAAGCAGGTGTAAATATCTAGTCACTCTCCCCTCTGTATCCCTTTCTATAGGATCATTCCCTTCAGCATACAGATATGTTACTTTCCCCATCTTCCGATAAACCTTTAACTCCACATTCCTGTCTAGCAATCAGTTTATTAATTTGACATTCATTTCAGCAAAACTCCATGAAAAAGTGTGCTATACAGTTGGCCTCTGTACCCAAGGTTTCTGCATTTGCAGATTCAACCGACTGAGAATCAGAAATATTTTAACAGAAAACAACAACAACAACAAAAACCAGATTGAGTGTAGTGGCTCACACCTGTAATCCCAACACTTTGGGAGGCCAAGATGGGAGGACCACTTGAGTGCAGAAGTTTGAGGCTGCAGTAAGCTATGATTGTGCCACTGCTTTCTAGCTTGGGTGAAAGAACAAGACTCTGACTCTAAAAATTTTTTTTAATAAAACAACAAACAGCATGAATAAAAAAATATCATATAACAAGTATTTTCTAGCATTCACATTGTATTAGGTATTATAAATACTCTAGAGATAATTTAAAGTATATTATAGATATATGTAGGTTGTTTATAGATACCAAACCATTTTATATCAGGACTTGAGTAGCTACAGATTTTGACATCTGAAGAAGGTCCTAGAACCAACCCCCCATGGATACTGAGGGACATCTCTACTTCTCTCCAATCTCTCTCCTCCTACAATTTTATATGAAGTCACTTTGATTAGGCTTTTGTTCTTAATACCTCACCTTTACTACTTTTGTGAAGATCTTTAATAATCTCCAAATAGCCAGATCCAAAGGCCTTCACCTTCCTGATCCATCAACAGAGGCAAAGGAGTTGAGACTGCTTATGATTCTGGATCACGGACTCTAAGCTGGACAGTGGGGAATGTGAAGACATGAAGTAGGTAAGAGACGATGCAAAGGTAGTAAGACCAACAGATCTGATGAGTCACAGGAGCTTAAAACACATCATCACTCTCTTTTTCAAGCACACTCTCTTCCTATCTTCCAGAACACCACAATCTCTTTTTATTTCTTCCTCACAACAGAGATGGATTTATCTTGAAGCTAAAAAAGCTTAAGTATCTTGATTTCCAGTAAAAAAAAAAAAAATGCTTAAGTATCAGGGCACCTCACTGTTATGGGCGCCTTCTAAGGCCCATCTAGGAATATATTTACATGCTCATAGTGTTTTGTAGTATTTGCAAAATAAGATATCTTAACATAATTGGTCAAACTTCCCCTCATATGCAGATGGAGTGGAGCTTCCACTCCAATCCCCTCTGATCTCTCATTACTGTTTTGTGCACCTGCTCCAGACATACGCAGAGCTGCTAGTGCCTGGACAGTGCCCACCTCTGCAGAAACTCTTGAGTAATAACTGAAAAGTGTAGGTGTGTGAAAACCTAGATCCCTTTCCTTGAGTCAGTGCAGTTCTGAAGTGTAACCTACACAACCGAGTTTCCCTGTGGATCAGGAAGAAACTGCCCTCTGGGATTTTGCCTGAGATCATGCTCCTGCTGGGCATCCTCTCCTGCCTGTTCTGCTTCCTGCACCACCTTCCTGGTCTCCTGAGGTGCTACATGGTCACCTTCACAGTGATCCTTGTCTCTGGGTCTATTTTGGGATGTCAACCTAAGGCCACATTGATCATCAACATCCACTAACATCAAACAGAGACACAGCCAGACAGTAAGTGCACCCAACTTTGCCAAAAATGTCAAACCAGAATCTTACCAAGCTTCTAAATCCAATGACCAATTTAGAGGAAATTCAGTGGGCAGAGAACACAAAAAACACATGACACATAAGGATTTGATTAGAAAAATATGGACTGTGGGAAACTACAGAAAAAACAACCTGATTCCTTAAACAAATTAATTACAAAAGAGATAAGAAATCTATGGATTTTTTTAAAAACTGGGGACATATCAATTAATCACAACTTTAAATTCTGATTCAAACTAACTATAAAAATAAAAGTATGGCATTTCATGAGATTGTTAGAAATTTGGATATTATTATTATTATAGGATGTTATTATTAACGTTTGCTGAAGTATATTTAGGGCATCATTATTTTTAAGGAATTCTTGTATTTTAGAAATACATACTAAAATACTGATAGATAAAAATACTGTAATATCTAGAAATTACTGTAAAGCTGCAGAGGAAGGGAGAAAGTGGGTGGAATACAGTGGAAACAAGACTGCCATGAATCTACCATTGTTGAAACTGTTGAAAGGGTTCCTGGGAATGTACTAACTATTCTGTCTACTTTTGTATAATTCGAAAGTTTCCATATTAGAAACTTAAAAATTTTCCCTTGTGTGAGATGGTATTG